GAAAGTGGAATTTCACAGTTTTCTTCCCATTCTCCTGAGCATGACTGGCTTTCATCTCTTTCAAATATAGATGAATTTGATATATGTAATAGGGAAAGATTTCTTGTAGCAGATAAATTTACATGGAAGGTGAAGGTATGCCGAAGGCAACATATTTAGAAGAACTTCTATTCATGATCAGCATCAATGTCTAAAATATATGATTTAACTTACCAGACCATATTTAAAAGGAGCTATAAGTAGAGCTCATAATTTAGAGCTGTAACACTGGATCCTTTAATTATATACTGAATTTTTCACCTAAAACTTACATGGCTTTGGAGATTGATGATCTGATAAAAAGCATTTATCGTCAGGATAATGTATTTAAATGTAGTACAGAAAGTTGGAAATTTTGATCTATGAAACAATTTGGTAATCTTCCACTTTCCAGATGGTTAAAGGGACTACAGTGGCAGAGCTGTGACCCCTTGTGTTCCTCTGAATGATGTAATGCTCACATGTTTTTAAAACTCACAGAAATTATTGTAAAATTAGTAGTGCTGTGGAGCATTGACATCCTGCCTTTTACACACCTCTGAAGTACAGTGATAGGCAAAGGCACCTTTATGTGTTATACTGACTCTTTGGAGTGTGTTGTGTCAAATACAACCGCTATCCATCTTGTCTTTTGGGCTGATGAAACCCTTGAATGCCATCTTCTGACAATGGTTAGGAATATCCTTGTTTATTAGACTTTTCGTTTTTTACGTAAGTTTGAAAGCAAGTGTATCTGTGACTACCTTATTACTGCTAGAAGAGATAACTTTGAACAAAATCACTTTCTGTTTACTTATTTGTACTGCACCCAAGGATTGTTTTTCCTGAATATAACGCATCTCTCTGATCACTGCAGCTTAATGGTAAGTAATTGCTCTGATAAATGTACTCAAGCTAGGGCTGCAAATTCAGTGCCTAGGATAGTGCTAACAGTAGTTGAAAGTTCAGCACAGAAACCATTCCTACTATTAAGTTTACTTTAAGATCATCCTCAGGTCCATAAGATGGCATCCTTAATACAGTTAATTATGGAGAAAAATAAGTAAAAATAATCTATCCAGCCTCAGGGGGAAAAAAAGTATACGGTAGAGTTTCAAACAGGAGTATAATATCCCACCCACACGTCAGCTTTTTGGAAAAGTAGTAGGCTTCTGAAGAAGGTTGGAGATAAATAGTGTTGCCAGACTGGTTTTTTGCTTCAGAAGAAGCAATATTCTAGTGTGGATTCAAGAGTTATTTATATAAGAAATGCAATTAAACATAATTTCTCAATTCATGATCTTTTAAAGCCACAAAGTAGCAGTTGAATGGCTGTTTGATTTGTCCTCTTTCCCACTGAGGTGTGAGGAAATGTGAGGGGGATTTTTTTTCACAGCAGTCTTGTATACCAAGGCTAAATTTCAGAATTTCAGAAGCAGATGCTGAACTTTGTTTCCTTCCTGAGTCAGTTGTCTTTCTATTACTCAGTCTTCAGCACTACCTCCTCCTGATATTTTGTTTACTTCTATGTAGTAGATTAAATTGGAAAATAATTCCTGAATTGTCTTGCTATATTAACTTGAATCCTAATATAAGCTTATTTTTATAGCAGCCACAATTATATATATATAAAAAAAAAAATCTCTTTTTTTATTAAAGCAGATGGACAAATGAGATGCCTCTGTGTGCGCTGTGTAACAGCTAATCACTGTCTTCTGCAGCCATGCATACGAAGGCTTCTTACCATTCTTCCTTAAGTATTCAGACAGTCTAGTTTCACAGAACAGTGGGAAAAAGGAATCAACATTTTTCTGTCCTTGAAGTGTAGTTGATAGTGATAAATTAATACCTGAGGTAACATGTGCTGTGCATTTTAAATCATATCACAATAAATAATCAAAAGAGCTTATTTGGATGCAGGGATAGAATATATATGCAATATTATGCATCTAGAACTAGATATAGCCTGAGACAGTCCATTCTTGCCTTGTTTATATTAATATATTTAGTGAAATGTGCACTGGGAAGCCTATCCCATACATAATGAGGGCATGGGCTCAATTTTCTTTTCATTATCAAGACAAGTATAGAGCATGCTTGCAGAAGAGTGACTCCTGCATACAGGAGTATCCTGTTGTACCTCTGGGTCATTATTTTCAACAACAACTTTACTGCAACAGTAAGAATTTTTCTCTTAATTACACCTTCCTTAAAACAAAGCAGGACTGCTGAACTGCCTAAAGCTTAGAGTTTAACAGGGAGAAATGGAACTGGAGCGCCTTTTCAGCTCATCCTCCAACCCATAATGCTGGGAATTTATGCAGATTATTCTTTGTTCACGAATAATGTGGATATTATTAATTATCCCAAATTATAGAATGCAAAGGCATTCCACTCTTGTTGCTTTATACTGCAAAGCTGGCACCTACCCTTTTCAGCCCAGCTTACCTCTCTTCTTTTTATTTATCTCATCAGTCCAGGACCATCAGATACTGAACACTATATAGAGGACCATCCCTGATCACAACCTGAAATCCAAGGAAGTCTGCTAAGTCCAGCAAGTTTCTCTAAGGAGAAAACTGGGACAATATTGGTCAGGCTCAGAAGCTGGGATTAGGTGAGGAAAGTCTTACAAGATAGTGAGTAGTTTGGTCTGAGGGCAATCCAACTTGGTGCTCTGGGTTTTTTTTACAGAAAGCTAGCAGTTCTTCTGGTGGTCCCACCTGTGCAGCCTAAGGCTGCATGAACACAATTATCCTGTCATGAAGTGAAAGCTTCCATTTAAGGTTTCTGGTAGTGTTGTGAAGTACTGCTAATTTAGAAATGCAGAATGAAGACATACTAATGAGAGTACTGTTACCGTGACATTACTCGTCAGTCTCACAATCTGCAAAGTTCTCAGTGCACAGATAAAAACTTACAGATTCTCTGCGGAATTGCAAGGGGATTGGCATTTTCACGTTACCTTCAAGGTGAAATACCTTGACAAAATGGTTTCTGCTTCAAGTTTCCTAAGTGATGCAGAGAAGCAGTATCCTACAGGAATGCACAGATTGCTCCATATATATTACCAGGATACTCCCATACCACAGGAATGTGCCTACCAGCCCTTGGCTAACCTATTTATTTACAGATTTATAAGGCAATATGCTATTTAATCAAAGAAATGGCTAATACTACTGTGTTTGACCTCTTTCTTTTATTAGCATATTTTATGTTCATATTTTACAATATAATAAGTTATATATACAGCATTAAACAAAGTTATTAGAAAGTAAGCTTTGGCAAGACCTACAGGATTCTTTTTTCGATCCCATATGTCTTTTGTATAACAATAAAAATACTGTATACTAAATAAAATAATGTTAAATAGTCTGTGTTCTCATTGGCACCATCAGTTTCAAAACCTTAACTTTTCATGGCCCAATAAATATAAAAAGAAGAAGATTCCTGTATCTTTATCTTCTTTTTAACAAATATGTGATGTGTAGTTTTAAATGGCACATAAAACATAGGAGGCAGTCCACTGAATAACACTGTAGTTACACACTGGCACAAGAAAAATTGAACCTTGATGCTTTTTTTTTTCTTTCTTTCTTTCTCTTTTGTTTTTTTTATTCTAGTAGCAGTAGTAAAACCTGCAAATTCATGGTCTTGAAAATCATGTTGAAGATTGCTGAGCTGCAGATTTAGAGATCTTATTGAAGCCTGTTGAAATCTGTGTGAATTTGTTATTGATTTCAAGATGGCAAGAATTTCATGCCTAAATTCAACATCAATCAGCTGGTTAAATTTCTAATAAATGCAGCTTGCTGCATCATTGAAAGAAGAGTTAAAATCTTATCAAATTTGGCATATGCAGATTAACGAAGAGTGTGTTGTGAAAGAAAAGGTGGAAAAAGAATAATGAAAGGGATAGGTTTTATATTGCAGCATGTACTTCCTCTGATATACAAATCAAGTGCTGAAACGATACAAATATAGATGTTACAGGGTGATGCTAAATGTTTTGCACAATTATGGTACTATCATAGATAAAATTTTGTTGCTAAGTGATAGAATAATGGTTGTTAAATTCTGGGTAATGGTAAATATTTTTAATAGCATTTTGTTTAGTCATGCATTTTGAATTTAAGAAGTACTGCTTTGTAATTTATACGTCTCTTAATTTAGTGATTGCACTTGGTGAAATCCATCAGCACTATTTTAGCTATAAGTTAGGCAAACAGGTTTGGTAACTGACCTGTGGTCTGAATAAGTTTTAGATAAATTTTAACTGTGAAAATCAGTTAGTTAGAAAATCAGTTAAAAGAAAACCAAATTAGGTCAATTTTTGTACTTCACAAACTCACAATAATGCATTAGCTTCCACATGAGTTTAATGTCACTGGTGGATTCTGTGCTCATGGTCTTATAAGAGTATAGCATTAAAAACACTTTTTCCTTTGCATTTCAAGTGTCTTTAAAGAAATCTACTCTTTTTGCTCTTTGTGTCACCTGTGCACCACTGTTGTCTGGAATTCCTCTGGTTGGAATATAATTTGATATATAGATGTCACTGTTGGAAAAGTATTTTTAATGGTAGTGGACAATCTGGTTTTGGTTTTGCTTTTTTCTTAACAGTAAAGAAAAGATTTTGCTCTTAACTTGCAAGGAGTAACTGCCCACTTTCTAAACAGCTTGTCCTCAGCAAGTCAGCAGTTTGAATTTTTAATTTCTGAAATGCCAGTGTGGACCAAGAGTGCATTTACATGCATTATACAGATTGTTTTGAAGCACTTCAATCTGTAAATTATGTTGACTCTTTTTCCATGCAGCATAGTTAGTCAGTCTGAGGACTGTGCGTATACATGCTTGATGCACGTGCTTCTAGATTCAACAAACCCATACTAAGTGTAGAAAATGAAACTGGTTGGAGCAGATAGAAATGTAAGTGCCTAATGTGTATTAATTGATACTGTAGCTGTGGTACTGCTTCTGACTGTAACTGTTAAACCACTGAACCAAGTCCTAAGAGACACAAATATTTTCAGACAGCTATTCAATGCCTTTCCTGAAGGCCAGGCAGGAACAGTGTCAGAAGAGTTATTTGCCCTTCTAATCATACACAGACCACAAAATGGATGTTTGTGTCTCTGCTTATTATCAGCAACTTTTTAACATGATGATTTTGTTTAATGACATGTTTCATGCCAAGCTTCTTGGGAAATTTTTGCTCTGGTTTTGGTACGTGTGTTACTTTACTTCTAGAAGTCAAAGAGAAGAGCTTCCCATTGGTTATTGTGAGCAATTATGTAGAAGAAGCATCAATGGTCTTTAGTCCAAAGTCTTTGATGCAGTGCTTACTGGAATCACACTTCTGATGGGGAAGTGCAGGCCCCAGGCAGGCATGTCAGGATGTCCCTGCTGGTTCAGGAGCCGGCATTGCTTGTGCCCACTCCAGAATGTCTGCACACAAGGATTCGACAGCATCCAATCGCTCGATTTGCACCAGTTTGGTGAGCAGTTCTGGGATGCTGTAGCCTGCTGTGCTGATGCGGTCAAACAGCTGCATGCCATCTGTCATCCCGCCAATCTCATCCCTCTTCAGCCCAAAGCTCTCGGCAAGGTGACGCCACGTTTTCACTATGGCTTTCTCTGTGTTGTAGGTTGAGCTGAGCATTCGGCTGGTCTTCTCTAGGCAGTCAAATGGCAGCTCCGTAGGGCTCAGGCCTGCAAAGGGAGGGGTGGATTGTCAGGTGGCTCTGGGTACAAGTCTTGATATTTATTAAAGTACAACAGATTACACTGTTAGCAATGAATGCAGCTGAAATCTTTAAGTGATAGTTCATGATATATGTCTAGGTCCAAAGGTACTACTGCATATTACCAAATGAATTCTTCATAATGACAGTAGGGTACCATAATTAGGGTAAAAAGTTGCCTAGAAAAGAAGTAATAGATGAGTTGTATGAATTCCTGTGGCTCTGCTGTTTCCTTCAACAATTTACTAGCTGTTAGAAAAAGTACAGTACAACTGTGTCCCTAGTGAGCAGCCCCATTAATATACCTCTGCACATCAGGCTCAGTGTTTGAGCTCCAGAGACAGCTTTCACCCTTCCCTGAGACTTGTCACCAACAGCTGCCGAAACATATCTGTAATTGAAAGTTGCCCTTGTAGGAAAGTGAGAAGTGAGGTGAAGCAATGATGCTGCCAGATGCAAGCTTAGAAGTCTCTGCAACTGCTTAACTGTCGTTACTATTGAGAATCTCTAGGGAGGATTTAACACTCAGCCTGTGGGGAAAAGGCTGTTTTCTCCTGGACATAGAAAATATGTATTCATGTTCAGAAAACAGAGGAGAGAACCAGCTACAGCATTTTTCCCAAACCAGACTTTCGCTTCTGTAGTTTTCCTGCTTCTTACTCACCAGCACTAATTTGATGGGAGACAGAGCTCCCTGAATTACAGAATACCCATACACGTGCACACAGAGTGTGTGTGTGTGTGCGTGTGTGATGGGAAGTGAATGCAGTCACATCTCCTGTTCTGCAGGGAACTTAATTCATATCTCCTGCTAAAACAGGTCAGGTGCTAAACAGGGTCAAAACACAGCCTGGAAACTACACATTTTGTTCTGAGATGTGGGACAATTTAGAGAAGCAGAGTAGGTTGAGCCTTGTGTCTTACCCTCAATCCTGACCCTCCCCAAATCACACTTTCATATTTGGAACTATTTTTTATCTGTTACCTTAAGAAATAAGACCAACAGGTCTTATTTCAACAGGTTTCCTCTAGATGGGGAATACAAAACTGCTTCTCTGCATCTTGGTCTGTGTCCCAACACAGTCCACCACAACTCCTGCTCTCCACAGGAAGGAAGCCCATGCATGTGCCCGGAGAGAAGCCGTGGCCTGCTCCAGTCCAAGCCCAGCCTGGACAGTTCTGTGGTCAGGGCACCACAGGGTTCCTGGTAAGTGAATACAAACCTGCCTACAGAGTGTCTTCTCTGGTTTGGGACTATTTTCCATAGATAGCCAAAGGCCTTTCTTACTCTACAACAAATGCTTGTGATCTAATTTCATGCTTTTAACGTAAATGGAAATTGTACACTCACCTTCCGCAACATCACATACATTAGCATACACGTCAAGTATCTTTTTCCTTCGACTTTGAATCTAAATGAGAAGAGTTTATTAAATTAATTTTTCATTTACAAGATTAAACAATTAGCAGACAGCAGTGGAAAGTCTGTGAGACATCTCCGTTTCATGGGGTTATTACACAGTAGCCTCAAGGGTCCCTTTCAAAGACTCAAAGAAAATGACACAGCAATTATTCCGTGAAGCACAAACATATTTCTGATTTCACTTGCCCCTGCTAGAGATCTTTCATTTCAACTTCTAGACTTCTTTTGAGAGCGAGTACATTTCTGCTCCAAGTGTTTATTTTATTTCTCTTTCAGACTGAAGCAAGCTCTTGAGAATGAGGACAAATCCAGTACCGTATATGCAACGATTAATGGAGGGATGTCTAGGTGAACCAGATCAGGGCTGGATACAGGGAATTAAATTCAGACTGAAATTGCCTTCTTCCAATAATCTAAGAGGACTGTAGAGGAGGGGATCTTCCTTTCTGTCTCTTGACATAGACCTGCTTAGTCAATTACTAATTACCTGAAATATTTTAGATTTAAAAAAAAAAGAAGTCAGCAAAGTTTTGGAGAGGAAAAATCTGAGATCCAGTGGGATGTAGTAATTTTTGACAAGAAAGAAACAGGACCGAAAACCTGACATTTTTCAAGCTAAAAATGGACACTTTTATATAGTTTCATTTAGCAAAATATTCTCAAGTTTTGGCTTTGGATTCAATGTGGAGTGAAAACAAATGTCAAAATGTCATGAGCTTAAGGGACTGAAATTTTCTTCCCTGTGCCAGCTCTCATTAGGACTGAGCTTTCTGAAAAGCTGTCTTTTTGACAGGACTCTAGCATTATCTCCACAAATTTGTCACTTTTCACTGCAAACAAGGCTTGAATAAAAGCTCTGCTTTCAGTACTTTGTTTTGTGGAAAGATTTTCCTCACTTTATTTGGACTGTAAAGGGCAAGGCACATGAATGACGTGGATTAATGGATTTGCAGCTGCAGAGCACCAAGTGGCTGCTGCACCTGAAGCGTGTCTGGCAGGTGCACTGCAGGGCAACGCAGTGCAGACACTCAGTGCTGTTCACAGCTTCCTCTTGTAATTTACGTGTGATTAGTCCATCCTGTTGCTATTGCAGGTTGGGATTAACTGTTTTAGAACCTTGAAAACAGGAAATTTTCTTTTAATGGGGTTTACTAGAAGTCCTCCTAAGAAAACTATTGGATGCTTATTTCTATTCTCCTCACACTTTTAGGGTAAAGAAGCAGGTTAAATAATTCCATGAAGAATTATGCAAGACACTCTTTTTACCAGAGCCAGATGATGGGGGATTTTTAAAACTTAAGCTGAAAGCAAACAGGAAATGTTTAGCCTGATGATCCTCTGTGTGGCAGCTCATTGCAAATGGGTTTTGTTATAACTAGGAAGAAGAAGACTTGGTTAATAGCAAGCCAACTGCTCTGAATATTCTTTCCTGTCCTAGTAATGCTACTTAATTCCAACTTGAAGAAAATTACTGCTTTTCTAACTTCTGGCAATTGGCTTAATTGTGACGTCCCAGTCATGGAGTGGAGAATCTTGATGTAATCTATACTTTCATTGAAATGTCTGTCTTCAGCCTTGTCAGCAGTCTTTAGTCCATGAGGATGTGTTTTTAGAACAGGTCTAGAAGAAATAGTTCATGCTTTAGGTGCACTTAGGAGCTATCTATCTAAATGACTCTGGAGAATGTATTTATGATACACGGTCTTTCGAAGGTAACCTGCTTCTTACAAAATAATCTGATTTCATGACTATCCAAGGTGTATTATCCTATTTCAAGCCAGTGCTTACAAAAGTATCATGAATTTGGATATTTAGAGAGACTCAGAAACCTGAACTTCAGGAATAGTAAGTTATTTTCAGATGGTCATAAATGTCTACAACTACAAAACCATTTAACTTGTGTTGAGATTTTGTGTGTCTGATCTTAGCTGAAAAGTGGTGTGTTTTGGGAATTTTGAGCTGATCCTCCCAGCAATTTAAAACATGCAAATATGAAAAGATGCATTTTTCAAACATTTTTTTTTCTTAAACAATATCTGATGTTTGATATTAATGATGTAATTTGGACCTAGCTATAGCCACTTAAAAATAAATTTGAAATACTAAACAAATCTGAGCAGACACCTTCTTTTTAAGAGTAGTTTGATGTTAACACAAACTGAAAGGTTTGTTGGGTGAGGTGTGGCCTTAACTGTGCCTTAAAGTACTCCAAGTGAGATAAAAAGCCCTGAGCGGTACACGCTCAGCAGGAAGAAGCAAAGGCCTTGCACAGCAAAACAGAGGTGTCTGAAGGACTGAGTGTCCTTCAGAACACAGGAATGACCTTCAAACCATGTGTGTGTTTTTCAAAATTCCACATGGAAACCAAGCACAACACCTGATATTATTGAGAAATCTGTGCCATGGAAATACCAATGTAGCTGGCTCAAGGTACTCAGATGTTCTGCTGTCAGCCAAATGCAACCTGCTTCATTGTTTTACTGTCTTAGGATTAGCTATGGCAGGGTTTTTTTCTTTCTTGAAACTATAAAATATAATAAAAAAAGCAAATTAATTAGTCTTGTTGAAAATTTGATTTTTATCTCTGAACACTATACATATGCATATGTCATTATGCAAAGGAGATGCTATAACAAATTTGTCTGGAGAAGCTCTTGTAAATCAATCTGATCTATCCTACAATGCATTGTGGGGGGTTGATAGTTTATATATTTTTTTCCTTTAAAGAAAGTAGAGAAATGTTCTCAATTTTTAAATCTTGAGGTAGCCTTACCCCAGTTGATTTATTGCTTGTTGAAGATTTATCTCTGGCCAAATGCACTAAAGATAATAAGCATCTCTCTGGAGTCCCTTGCTTGTCAACTGCAGCTTCTTCATCACTATCCATACTCCGGCTTAAAAGTCGTTCATTCTCAGAAGATGCATCGTTTTCACTGAAAAATGAAGGATATGGTTATCTTAGTGAAGACTCTCATGGGTTGACTCCAGTCATCTTCTTTTTGCTATCTGAGAGTAATGGAATAAAAGTGTTTTCCATTTTTTAAAATGCCTTTCCTCTGAAATCCTGTGAATGTAAGGGCCTTTGCCACCCCAGTGTGTATGTGCAATGCCCACCAAGCCACACAGTCACAGGTAGCTTGCAAGAATCAAAAATAGAGGGATTTTCCAAATGAGGACAGTGTTTAGCCCACCTTAATCATGTTACCCAGGCAGGTTTGGCTGCTGGGCAGAGATAAGATGAGGAAAACTACCACACCATGCCATCCAGATGATGCTAGGGACCAGGGATTTCCTTAAAGCCTGTAGCAGCTATTTTTGTACTTCCTATCTAGAATGGAAGGGGAACCTCAGTAAGGCCATGTGAGTGAGAGCTGCACGCAGGTCCCAGAAATTAACCTCTCAAAAGAGGAGATGGATTCCCAAGAGCTGATGAACTGGTCACAGAGGGAATAGGGAGGACCCAGGTGTCTCTTGAAAATGTCTGTTACCATCTCCTAGAAACCAGAGTAGAGAAAGCCTATTAATGCTGGTCTTTGCCCTGCTGCAGCTTCCTGCCAGCATACCCATCAAATTTATGTCTTCCACTGTACCAGGATGAATGATGACCATGTGCCTCCCCCATTACAGTGAAATTGGCAATATGTTTCTTTTTACCCACCTCTTGACAGCCTTAGCTGGAGTTGCTGTAAGTTTTTCAAACTCCTCTTTCTCAGAGAATATCACAACATTATCTGTAGAACAACAATTAGAGAAGTTTAAATTGGCAATAAGTTTCCAAATCAGTGCTTTGTGTCAGGAGCTAGTTCTGCTGGCAACCCTACTGACAAAATAAATCTCTCTGCTATATATTTAATTGCTATCAGAGGATTAAGTGACATTCTGGAAGTACAAAAAGCTAGTATAGACAATTCTTTAGTAAACTGGTGAGGGTTTTATATACTCCAAAGGAGAAATTGTAATTAAGAGAAAAGTATTAAGAATATTTAAGCCCAGTGTTGTCTTGGATAGAAAAAGCAAAACTAAAACAACTTGTACCTTGCACTTCTTTCTTCTCTTCTTGTGTGTTAGCCTGAGCTTCGACGTTTTTTACTGAGTGGCTCTTGCAACAGGCTAGAATATACAAATATAACACTAATTATTCTCAGAAACTTCCTAAGAATAGCATTTGCAACTATAATTTTACCTGCTGAACAATTACCTTGAGCAGATGGCTTTGTTTTTACAATGTAAAACATGATGATAAGGACAATGGCAATAGCCATTATGAAGATAGTAGACATAGCAATTATAAGAGCTGTAGCCAGATGTCCTTGTCCTGAAAGATCTGCTGGAATAAAAAAAAAATAAATGAAGGAACAACCCTTAGGATCAGAGAATAGTTAGCAGTTTGCAGTCTTCTCTACACATAGTTTGCCTAATCCTTTAGTTGATTTGAGTCTTGGTTGCTTGTTAAGCATTGAAAAACTTAGTGTTGCATCTCAAAGGCGAGTTAATTAAAAATTTCTCAAAATTTTGATATTTGTGCATAAACCAGTTAGTAGTATTCATTAAGAATATTTGATGGTATGATCCATCAGATACAAAGATGCAGGAAATTGTATTTTAATATGGGAAGCTGTACATATGCAAGAGTAGAAGCTTTTGTAGGACTGCATTCTGGGAATCAGCATTGACAAAACAAAAACCAGTAAATATACAAATGGAATAAGAGCTAAAATGACTGTTGATAACTGTGGCTGTCTCAAAAGCTCTAAGTTAAAAGGAGGACACAATGCACACATAGAATAATGGATGTTTTTCTAACAGATACTTAAAAAGCAGCATGGCTAGAAGGTGAATTTAAAATAAGCTATGTGAAAAGATATTCAGAAAGAAAACTTGCATGCGAAAGAACTGAAAAGGCATGAAAGGATGCGGAAAATTATAGATATGCTAAAAGGGTTGAAAGCTTTAGTTTCTCTGAAAATGTGATCCTAACAGTCGTGTTTTCAGACAATACAAAGAGGAACAGCATTGTCAGTATCTCATTAACTGCACCTTTCCTATTCTGTCTTTCAGGTTCAAAAATTTTAAAAGCCTAATGATTGTGCTGGAGAACTGGTTATGTTAGCTCAGTAAGAAACTGACCATATTTGTGCATGAAGTTGTTTTCACCATTCTAAGCTAAGTTTGCTGAGGCAGAGTGCTATTTCTGTAAAGCTACAAATAATGAGCTATATTTATTGCTGGCATCACTGGGTACAGCTCAAATCCTTTTTACGTTCAGCTGACAAACAGCAGTTTTGATTAACTGAGAAACAGAAATGAATTATTTCTAATAGCAGTTTTAGAAATCTGGAAATAGCGACAATGGAAACAGCAACAGATATTTTCAGTTTGGTTGTACATTGTTGATGCCCTTTTCAAAATAAAGAGCTGCTAAATTAACCCTGTGAGTGCATTCTTACCTTTGTGAGCATGCTGGTAAGGTGAGAAAGTGCTTGTGCCAGAGGTGCTTGGGAAAATGGCTGAAATGCCAGAGTTAGTGCCTGCACCTGCAGTGTAAACAAAAATGCCATAAAATTCAATGGTTAATTTGTCCAGTCAAAGGAATAGGTTGGTTCAAGGAAAGAGAGCCTTTAGTTAGCTTGGTTGCATTCCCATTTATTCGCAAAGGAGCCAAGAGCTACTCGCTCTTTGAAATGTCCCTAATCCCAAAACATGTTACTGGTACACTGAAAGCTGGGCTATGGACCCTGTTTTTGCACACTGTCCAGAGGGAGTGAAAGCCAAACTGCCAAACAGATACGAACTCAGAAGAAAAAGCCAACTGTTACACATAGATTCCCGTATTATGGATCTGTCCTGGGTAGCAGAAAGTTTTCCAGGGTCCAGATGATTACTCAGTTTACCACTCCAGTATTTGCAACTGCAGACTGAGACTTAGCTGGTAGATTCATCCAACTAGTGCATCTCAAAAGCAGCCTTCACTAGCAGCATCACTGTAAAGCTGTGATGCTATGCAAACCCTCATGACTCCACTAGGAAAACCTAGGGAAAGTGACAGGTAATGGTATAAAGATTGCTTTTCTGTTCCATGGAGCTGTACTGTCATAAAAGGGAATTTTAGGATTTCCTGTAATGTAATTTGGCAGTATGTTTCTTATGATTTCCTGTCAGTCCAAATCTGTATTCTGGGGAGAGTGAAAATTCACTGAAACAATAAATGAAGAAGTTAGGGGAAAACCCTAACTTCATCCCCTCAGAGGGGTGAGATTGTCCAGTACAGGTTTCCAGGTCTAAATTCTACAGTCAAGGTTAAATTTTGTCATTTGGTTGGTGTCATGCACCAAGTCTTCAAAGCATTAAACTGAGTCATGACATATTCTGACAGTAGTAAACAATAGTGCATATTATTTAGAATAAAGCTGTTTATGGGAATGCTTTTATATAGGAGGGTGTTTGCACAGCATTCCAAAAGAGAACAAAAGTATTAGGGTTGGGAGTAAACATTACCTTCCTTCTCAAATGAACTTTAATGCCATTGGTAAGCATATAATCCAAACAGCTACTATCAACAGACACCGAAAATCATTTTCTATCTTGAAGGAGGTATGAAATTCCTCCTGCTTTGTATTAGCTGTCTCTGGAGAAAGTCCAGTGATAATTAAATTCAGCAGACCTGAAGGCAAAAAGCTGCCCCAGTCATCTAGTGTGCACAGCACATGGCTCCACAAGTTGGTTTGGCGACCAAAATAGATGAGAGCTCATTCTGTCCTTTTGACCAAGTAAATATTCAAAGAAATCAAATCACCAGGTAAACTACACAAAAAATCAAGTTAATACTGAGAAATACTCTATGGTTAAGAACAAAGCAATATGCACATTCTTCAAATGAAGAGAAATGTTTTTTTAAAAAGAAAAAAAAGTACTATATAAAGTAAAACCTGTCTGCATGTTCTGAATAAGAAATGTACACCTAAAGAGGCTGCAAAGTAAGAGTTGTGGATGTCTTCAAAAGAAATTTTCTTTAACAATCGTAAAACTTCTTTCAAACATCATTTGTTGGAAGGAAATGGATTAATTTGTTATAATTGGTATTTTTTCAAACTGAATAAGGGTTTTCATAAAGTTTTAAATATACAAATTTATTAATTCAGATGCATTTAATATTTTGCAAATGAAGGCTAGATTACATAAGTCTTGCCTCTGGTCCTTTCTCTGTGACAGATTTCCTTCTAAGAAGAATGAGTTATGAGCTCCAGAAACTGCAGTGCAGTAAGACTATCTAGGGATGATGTAAATGAAGCTGTCATCTGCATGTAGTGGGCATTAAAGACAGGTAATTTGTAGAATTTTAAGCAATTCTTCACAAAACCACACTGAAGCATCCTTGGTCATGACCTCTGTGTTTACTCATCGCTGGACAAGAGAGGAAATTTAGCAAATGGCCAGTAATGTAGCCTGATATTTTCCTTCATGTTCCTGCACAGCCGCCAGGCTTACGCCTATTCTTGCAGCCCCCCTGGCAAATCCAGTTACAGCCAACTGGAATTCTGCAAGGTCCTTGCAAGCTGCAACAAGCCAACAATAGCTTCTCTGACACTGCCTCTCAGTGAACACAGGCAAGCTGTGCTGCTTTGTCTGCCTAGAGTTCCGCTAACAAGCTTCAGCCCATCTCCACAAATGGGTTTTAGCAAACTTGCCTCTCTTTTCCTTCACTTGAAGCATGAAGTCATTGAAGTATTTCTGCCTAATAATCTTTCAGTCTCTTGGTATTGTTAACTTCATGTTTTTCACCCATCTGTGAAAGGAAGTAGAGCCTTTCAAATTGGGGAGTCGGGCAGCAGCAAGTAGCACAGGAAGGGTAAGGAGGAAGGTCACCACTCTTCATTCAGCATCATTATCACACTTCACCCAGCTCCACCCCACAGCAGGGCAGGCGTGCTGCCCACACCATGCACACACATGGATATCACACCCCCTCCTGTGCACACCAGTGAGAGCCTTCAGCCCCAGAGCCTATGTGCAGAATGTCCTCTGCATGGGAACAGAGCCACCTCGTTTGTTCTGCAGTGCTGGCATGGCAAAATCACGGCTGGCACTAAAATGTGGTGGCCTTTTACACACGCCTGGGTGGGAGTTAGTCATTACACATATTTTAAGTCTACTGTCAAATTTAATAATTTGGCATATCCATTATGAGCCAAGATTTTTCTTTAGATGTGGCTTAGAAGAAAGTGCCAATTCATGCACCTGCACTACAAGAGGAACCAAACGGACACCTTCTGTGGAATTTCAGTTTATATCCCTTTACATGAGCAAAAAGAAACAACTCATAGCTGCTGCTTTATCCCAGTCAGCACCACATCACACTAATATCAGTTGTTCCTGTGCACATCCAGATTTGCATCCCAATCACATTATTAATTCTGCTTCCAATATCAATGACACATAATCTATAAAGACGTTAAATATAGCTCAGGCAGAGACATCCTAAGGTGTTATAGCACACCATATGGAAACAACTCTCTTTTTTTAAATAAAGACTGATGGCTGTAATATAGCTGTGGAAAAGACTGGTTTATATTCCTAGACACCTGTATGTAATACTGTAGGAATGTGATAAAGAAATTAGGAAAGAACTTTATCACTGATGCTTGGTCAACTTTTGCATTATAAATGTTTTTATAAAAAAACCCTGTGATTTAGTTGTAACTTTCTTGGAGTCTAAATAGAGTTTCAATTAAAAAAACTGCTCCATACTTATTGTTTAAAAGAACAATTGAATCTGTATTCACTTTTGAATGTTTGGGGATTTTAACTCAAAAGATAGCTTTAACTTAAATTACCATGCAGCTGCCTTTTGTTCTTTCAGGAAACAAATGCTGGGCAATAAAATCCTTTGTTGCTGTTGTTTCAATAAACCTTTCTGCTTTATGTAACAGATTATTCCAGTTGTTCTTGTACCTTGAGACAGAGCTTACAATAAGAAGTGGCAGACAAAACTACCAGATTTGTGAGAGGAGGAGGGGAAGGGCACAGGGAAGGGAGGATTTACCACCATACCCCCTTGCAAGTGTTTGTGAGTGAATAAAATCTGCTGCAGTAAGACACCATATGTGCCCCTGACATTCATTGCTGTGGGTATCAGCTTCCTGGTCCATTCAAAGGACTGCTGCTCACTAGCAACAGATTTATTTTTTTGTTAGTCTATTTAATACTTATAACATGTTATAAAAATCCTCAAAATATGTACACAACAGACTATCAGAGTGACCATAAAATAAGACACATTAACAGAAAAAGTGGTGTCTATATGTGTATCTATTTCTTGCTGTTGAAAGCTTGCTTTCTCCTGATGCATCCCTCCTCTCCCAGGCATAGTCCAACTATGAATGGCACAGATGAGCTGGGATTGCCGTCACTGAGACTCTCTTATGGGCTGAAGTAGGATAAAGCACACATGCAAATAAGTAACTATCAGCCTGAAATATGAGATGAAAAATAAATTATACTGAGTTGAAATTCAATACAAGTAGACAGTTTATGGCTGACAAAGTTAAAACTGGATTCTAACTAAATCTAGTCATAAATAAAGACCTAGATATGTAGAAAGCAGGGGTCAGAACTTTTAAATAATGTAAATCTGTATTCAGGTGCTTACATGACAGGTTTGCTTTAAAACTTAGGGAAACAACACTTCAAATGGAATGCCTGTGCACATGGAAAGTCATGGAAGCTAAAGCAGCTGTCAAAGCCAACCTTCTTTCTGAGTTGCCTACATACGACTTCAGTAACCAAACATAAACCAACTCTGAAAATATCGCAAATCACTGATAACAGAACATATTCTAGGCAATGGAGGATTGCATGAGGGATCTTTATTTTACATAATACTATAAGTAACTCTGATATTTTCTGGAGTCACAGGTAGATACTTCAGTTAGTGTAGGTAGCTATTACACCGGGAAGAACATGATGTAAATTAATTCCTGAGAATTAAACTTCTGAAAAGGATGATAGGAAAATTCCTTCTGACTTTTGCTTTCAGTCTGGTCAATCTCTCTGTAAGTAATCACATCACATAAAAGGAAATATTTTTTTGCTGCTGTGCTTTCTATAATGCCTATAACTATTTTATTTCTCTCTCCTTTTATTTTGTCAGAATAGAGAAGTAATGATGATTATAGGCCACATGGCCTTAGTCTGACAATTTATTTGCATCTGTTGAAGTTTTGTTTAGAACTCACTGGGAGCTGTAATCATTGCAGAGCACTGGAAAGTCATAGACAAACACTCCATGAACTAAGCATCTGTCCAGGAATTCAGTGTTGTCACCCCTTTCTCTGCACAACATGAGGGCAATAATTGCTATTCAAACTTTGCTATCATGACTTTAGAGGAGCATCATAAGGAAGAGAAGAGACCTGCCTGGAGCTGGTCTCCCATTTCTCTGGTGTCCTGGTGGCCAGCCCAGTGGAATGGGTGGTACAAGGCTGCAGCCCTACAGGTTTTTCAGCTCCTGAGCCCAGTCAGAGCAATCCTGTAGAGA